GCTTTGACAAGAGAAACCATCAGTAAGCCAACTTTCTTGTTATGTTTATTTTGTATATAGTGAAAATTTGGTCAGCATAAACATGAGTCGCAACATAAAAGCTTCACACCACGAGTCACAAACACAAATTTACTTCATGGATTATGGCAAATATACTTTATGAACCATGTCAAATTTACTTTTAAACCATTGAAATTTCTTTTTGGACCATGGCAAATGAATTACAAATCCAAGGTAATTTTTTCTTTATTATGTCTTTAACAATCCACAGCAAATTTATTGAACAATTCATGGTAAATTTATTTTTTTGGACCATGGTAACTAGTTTTTTGTTATCTATTATGGCAAATTTATATATTTGGCCATGGAAATGAAATTTTGGCACAATGGCAAATTTAATTTTTTAAACATGCATTTTTTAACAAACCATTGTTAATTCGTTTTTGTACACCATGGCATTTTTTTAACATTTCCATGGCAGATTTGTTTTCATGAGACTTGTTTTTCAGAAAAATAATTAAATTTTTGCCGTCATCTTTTACAAAATAATGTCAATTTAGGTTCAAACACAATTGTTAATTGTTTTTAATGTTCTACAGATATGTCAGATTTATTTTTCCCATTCATGACATTTTTTATATTTTTCATGCATGGCATTTAGATTAAAGCAAACTTATGTTCAAACATACCCCCACTATCAGGTCAAACTTTCACCATTTTATGTTTATTTTTGTTTTGGTCTACATTATGGAAATTTTTGTACAAGTTTTTTTGTCTCTCTGCTTCTGCATCACCGCATGGCATTTTTTACTGTGCATGATTTTTTGGTAACATATTAGACGACGGTAATTTTTTTGTACATACAACATGTAAATTTTGTACACTCTATGATAATAGAGTTAAAAGCACCAGGAGTCCTATAACTTGCTCTCAATGTGATGGTTTAGTCCTACAACTTGAAATTTGACCCTACCCAGTCCTGGAACTTGCATGAGGTGTGCAAATTTGGTCCTGACGAATCAAAGAGCGCCATGTGGACGTGTGGGTGCGTACCCGGTCAGCCCGTGGCATTTTGCAAAGAGGCCCCTGGCGTTGCTTCGAATCAACCCGCACTACCAGCATCGGGAGCACCTGAATTTATTAACCGCATTTAATCTGTCGAGGGGGAGGAACTCCTGTAGCCTATCGCAACTCATTCTTCTCCATCCTTCTCCTTGTCGGCGCTCGAGCGGCCGTTGCTGACGTCAGCAACAATGGCTGCCTCGCCGGAGCTCTTCGGCGGTCCAGTGCCGCCTCCTGATGTCTACTACACAACCTTCTTATTGTAGACGTTGTTGGGCCTCCAAGTGCAAACATTTGTAGGACAGTAGCAAATTTCCCTCAAGTGGATGACCTAAGGTTTATCAATCCGTGGGAGGCGTAGGATGAAGATGGTCCCTCTCAAACAACCCTGCAACCAAATAACAGAGAGTCTCTTGTGTCCCCAACACACCCAATACAATGGTAAATTGTATAGATGCACTAGTTCGGCGAATAGATGGTGATACAAGTGGTATATGGATGGTAGATAAAGGTTTTTGTAATCTGAAAATATAAAAACAGCAAGGTAACTAATGATAAAAGTGAGCATAAACGGTATTGCAATGCGTTGAAACAAGGCCTAGGGTTCATACTTTCACTAGTGCAAGTTCTCTCAACAATAATAACATAATTGGATCACATAACTATCCCTCAACATGCAACAAAGAGTCACTCCAAAGTCACTAATAGCGGAGAACAAACGAAGAGATTATGGTAGGGTGCGAAACCACCTCAAAGTTATTCTTTCCAATCAATCCGTTGGGCTATTCCTATAAGTGTCACAAACAGCCCTAGAGTTCGTACTAGAATAACATATCAAGACACAAATCAACCAAAACCCTAATGTCACCTAGATACTCTAATGTCACCTCAAGTATCCGTGGGTATGATTATACGATATGCATCACACAATCTCAGATTCATCTATTCAACCAACACAAAGAACTTCAAAGAGTGCCCCAAATATTCTACCGGAGAGTCAAGACGAAAACGTGTGCCAACCCCTATGCATAGGTTCATGGGTGGAACCCGCAAGTTGATCACCAAAACATACATCAAGTGGATCAATAGAATACCCCATTGTCACCACGGGTATCCCACGCAAGACATACATCAAGTGTTCTAAAATCCTTAAAGACTCAATCCGATAAGATAACTTCAAAGGGAAAACTCAATCCATTACAAGAGAGTAGAGGGGGAGAAACATCATAAGATCCAACTATAATAGCAAAGCTCGCGATACATCAAGATCGTACCACCTCAAGAACACGAGAAAGAGATCAAACACATAGCTACTGGTACATACCCTCAGCCCCGAGGGAGAACTACTCCCTCCTCGTCATGGAGAGCATCGGGATGATGCAGATGGCCACCGGAGAGGGATTCCCCCTCCGGCAGGGTGCCGGAACAGGTCTAGATTGGTTTTCGGTGGCTACGGAGGCTTCTAGCAGCGGAACTCCCGATCTATTGTGCTCCCCGAAGTTTTTAGGGTATATGGGAGGAAGAATTACGTCGGTGGACCTCCGGGCTGTCCACGAGGCAGGGGGCACGCCCAGGGGGGTGGGCGCGCCCCCCACCCTCATGGGCAGCCCGGGACTCTCCTGATGCAACTCCGATACTCCGTGGGCTTCTTCTGGTCCAAAAAAAAGTTCCGTGAAGTTTCAGGTCAATTGGACTCCGTTTGATTTTCCTTTTCTGCTATACTCTAAAACAAGGAAAAAACAGAAACTCGCACTGGGCTCTAGGTTAATAGGTTAGTCCCAAAAATCATATAAAATAGCATATAAATATATATAAAACATACAAGGTTGATAATATAATAGCATGGTGTTGGGGAATATAGTAATTTCAAAATTTTCCTACGCACACGCAAGATCATGGTGATGCATAGCAACGAGAGGGGAGAGTGTGATCTACGTACCCTCGTAGACCGACAGCGGAAGCGTTATGACAACGCGGTTGATGTAGTCGTACGTCTTCACGGCCCGACCGATCAAGCACCGAAACTACGGCACCTCCGAGTTCTAGCACATGTTCAGCTCGATGACGATCCCCGGACTCCGATCCAG